ATTGTCTTTTTTAGTCAAGACTTCGATGGAAAGCTCTAAAGGTACCTGGTTGAGAAAAGCTCATAATTTCTCATTAAGTTAGGTAAATCTGGTCATTTACTAACAATAGCCCTTTTCCAAAAACCTACTAAAAGCCATAACAATGTATTTATGAATTTCCCTTTGGTTTTTGGAGTGGACTATTTGTGTTTGTTAGTATCTCTTTTGTTGCATATCAACATTTCCAAAGCATGTTAAAACAATTGCTCCATGTTCAAGCAATTCGTAGGTTTAAATGGCTGGTTAGAGGAGCCCAAGAAATGCAGGGAGCATTATGATTCGATAGAGCTTCTGGATCGACTAGTTATTACTTTACTATCTTGCGGTATTGTGCATTTATTTAAAGCTTATTTGATATTGAAAGAATAACTTAAAGGAACTGTTAGAAATAATTTTTTTTAAAACTAATGTTTTTGAAAATTGTGATACTATTGCCCTTCTTAGTTTAAAAGAGAATGGATTTCTGAGGTACACAAGACCAGAGGGTCAGGTAGTATTTATAAGCTTACCCTCCCATGCAAAGGTCAGAAATCCAGTGACTATAGGGGTGCTGTGAGATACGTGGCTGTGAAAGATTTATTTGCATCTTGCTATTTTAAGTTTTTCAGTCTATCTTAAAAATTTGAGAGTTCATTTTCTGTTATGAAGAAAAATGCATTACTAAACAACTTGCAAAGCCCTGTGGGGGGTGTGTGTGTGTGTGACCAAAATTTATAGCTTTTTTCATACTTTTGGACTTATGAGACATACCAACAAATATAAGAGATCCTTGATTTTTTTTTACAGTCTCCTCTATTTTCTATTAGTACCAATGTACATTATTTTTATTATTTGGCTGCGAATTTATACTGTTTTCTATGCAGATGATTGTTATTTTCCTTGAATATTTGATGCAAGAATCACTTCTGAGAACTGGCATTTAGATAAGTAATTCAGTTTGTTTCCATTTGCGCCTCTTGGGGAAAGGCTTTGGACTTAGTGCTCCAACTAATTTTCCATCCAATACTGCAAAGGAAATGACCAAACAGACTGAGAACTAAGAGAAGTTATATAAAAAATCCAAATCTTCATGAGGAATTACTTATGGACTTGGCTAAAAGGTGGCAGATATTTTTGTCTTTGTAATGCTCTACTTAAGCTCAAAAACTCAGTAGAGTTGAAGATTTTTCTTTGAATTCATTTGGGTTTTGAAAAAACTGTGTAAAATTGGTAATTTATCTGTGTATGTGTTTTTAGCTCACAAACATTTTGTTTTGGCCCCTAGTCTTTGGTTTCAGAAAGTAAGCAGGCTAACATGTGCATAGCACTGTTCTGTTTTTAATGGGGATGATGGGTTTAGGTGGAGATTTGCCATCACTGACCACCATCTTGGGTTTGTCAGCATTTCATGAAAGGAGAATTAGAAGAAACAATATAACCTAGTGAGGTCTTTTTTTCTAAGTCCAGTTCTTACCTTCTATATGTGTTTTTCTGGTTGTCTTTATTCCTATTCTAATGACCTCAATATTTTTACTTTTGCAGCTGGTATTAGGTTGAGCTGCTGCAACAAGAGACCCCTAAATAAAGTTGCCTAAATAAGATGGAAATGCCTTTCTCTTTCATCTAACAATGCAGAAGCTTCTTTATTCTATTAACTTTTCATCCTTAAGGTGAGGTCTTCATCTGTATGCTGGAAGTTGTTTCATCAGCACCACATCCAAAGGAATGGGAAGAGAGTATATGGTAGGCAATGTACATTATTTTTATTATTTGGCTGCGAATTTATACTGTTTTCTATGTAGATGATTGTTATTTTCCTTGAATATTTGATGCAAGAATCACTTCTGAGAACTGGCATTTAGATAAGTAATTCAGTTTGTTTCCATTTGCGCCTCTTGGGGAAAGGCTTTGGACTTAGTGCTCCAACTAATTTTCCATCCAATACTGCAAAGGAAATGACCAAACAGACTGAGAACTAAGAGAAGTTATATAAAAAATCCAAATCTTCATGAGGAATTACTTATGGACTTGGCTAAAAGGTGGCAGATATTTTTGTCTTTGTAATGCTCTACTTAAGCTCAAAAACTCAAGGGTGTAATGTGTAAGTTGGACACATGACTTCAGCTCCCATTGTATTGGCAAGAACACAGTCATATCCAGTTGCAAGGGAGGCTGTGAGGTACAGTTTCTAGTTGAAGAACCTTGTTGAATTTTAGCCTTGCTAAAATTGAAGGTGGAATGGCGTAATGCTAAATGGGAGAAATGGAGAAAGAATACTGGAGCTTTTAGTCATCTCTGTCACCTAGAATAATAGAGAGGTCAAAGTTCAGCAGCGTGCACCCAAACCTCCATTTTCTCCATACCTCATACCATGTTGCAGAAACTGAAAGCTTGCAACCTGAGGGCTAACACTAATCCATTGCTTGAGATAATTCTATCCATGTCTAGCAGTACTTTAAAAGCTTTAGATCTGCTTGCAGGAGGGATCTAGAATGAGTGTCGCTACTCTAAGCTCAGTATTTTAGAGTCAGCTAGATTTTTCTACTCCCTTGTTTTGGTTCTAGCATGCCTGGTGCCTGGTGCTTGAGACATGGGGTTCTTTCAGTGAATGCTCTACTGTGAAGATTATCTATATTATACCAGCTTAGCTGGCTTTTTGCAATGTAGTTATTAAACTTCAAGTATTTTTAAGTTGTAATAGGCACTGCATCAGAGGGGGTATATCAACAAGATGAATAAAACATAGTTCCTGCCTTTAAGGGATACATGCTCTGGCACACTTTTTCAAAGGTAAATGTTTCTCCAAAACTATGTTCTGAGGAAAATACCCCAGGACCTTATTGCTACCATCTATCCATTATCTACCAATATTCCCTCTTCCCATAGATTCCACCCAAGAAGAGCCCCTACCACCGACAGGAGTTCGGCTCAGACCTGAATTCCTGACATCAGTTTCCATTTTGTATTTGTTTTCTAAATCTGCAGTGGCTCTGAAATTGACCTCACAGATTCCTTGGCTCATTGACTCTAAGGCCTCAAATATCTACCAGACTAGGCTGCATGCATTCTGATGGAGGCAAGGATATCAAGGCTCACAATGTGAGTTTTCTTTTCATGTTTGCTGTTCAGTTCCTGTAACCAATATTTGTTGAGGCTCTTCTATGGAATGAAGCATGTGGGGTGTGAAGCTGAGTAAGACGTGGTTCTTGCTCTTGAGCTGTTCATCTTGTAATGAAAGAATTACACTATTATGTGATTCGCCCACTGGTAGAGGTATGGGAGACAGAGTGTTATGGAAGTATAGAAGAAGGACTGAGGGGGTTGGAGAAGTTAGTGACATTTATATTTGACCTTAAAGAAGGAATGAGTTCACCAAATAAAAGTAGTCAGGGGTAGGGGACAGAGTGAAAGTGGCCTTCCTGACAGAGGGGACATCTTGTGCAAAGGGTGATGCGTGAAATATCATGGGGTCTTGTCCTCAACACTAAAAAACCAAGAACCAAAACCAAAATCTCCATCAGCGCATTATAAATGATGTTTCCCTTGAAATAAAGACTGTTAAAACAACTCTATGTGACACCTAGATTATTTAGTTTGTAAGAATCTGAATCTGAACAGGACCATTGTGTCCCAATCAGGGCATGAAGACAGTTTGGTAAGGACTCTCTAGGGATGCTCATGTTCTAGGTTTTCTTAGCTCTAAAAAATACCCACATTTCACTTTGTGAGCTCTTTTGCCAGTCACTGCACTGCTTTGTCAACCAAAGTGCAAAGGTAGCCAAGGAGCTCAGGGCCATCATTAATTATTCAGGTATTTGTGGAAAGCCTATGTGCTAGGCAGTGGGGATATAATGGTGTGTAAAAACGTATCCTGGTCTCTCTTCCCACAGAACTCACATTTAAAAGACAGCTATTAATTCACCAGTTGCACTAATGCAAGCTAATGCGGGTGGATTGAGAGGAGGTGTGGGGTTCTAGGCAAAGGGCTCAGAAGCAATAAAGCCCAGTGGTGGGAAGGGGTGTGATGTGTCCAAGAAGCTTGGAGAGAGTGAAGGGGAAAGGCATGCAAAATCAGGGTTTTGAGAAGAGAAGTGTTGGGCCCACACTACACACTAGACCTTTTTAAGGATTTGGGTTTTTCAGTGGGAAGCCACTGAAAGATTTTGAATTGGAGCTGACTGATTTTTGTTTAGAGGAAATATTAGGTGCTAAACAAGCATTTATGGATGCTTATTATTAATCATGTTATCAAATCAAATAGAAAAACTCCTGGGAGGCAAAAACGTAAATTGTTACCTAAAAGCAGTGACAAAATAGAAAATAAAGTTTTCCTAATTTTACGTTAAACAGTTTTGTTTACTCTTTATAGCAAATCTGGCATCATGGAACTGAAGGAGTCCCACCTTTTAGGGAGGTGGTTTGCGCAAGAGTGAGTAGTAAGTTGGTGGCTGATTCATTTCTGCCCTGCTCCATGAGTGACACTGTTCCTTTCCTTCCCCCTTTCCTGCCTCCCACTCCTGCTGAAGCTTTGCAGATAAGGAATCAAATTACTCTCTGGCTCTCATCAGAGCTTCTCAAAATGTGAGAGCTTTGATTGCAACCATCTCCTTGGTTCAATTTCTGTCTTCAGGATCTTCAGTGTTGCTGCCACGCCATCCCTGTCTGTCCCCAGGGAGATGCCATCATGTCTCGTTGATCTTCACATTCCAGTGTCTCCAGTAGCGCAGACCAGTCAACAATTCAAAGCTGTAATTGGTAGATTAGCACTAATAATAATATCAGCTAAACAATATATAGGCAATGGGAAGGTGACCAGCTGAACTAGTCTCCTAGATTCATTTTGGAGAATAGTGGAAAGTAAAGTTGTGTAGCATTCATGAAAATTGTGGCTTTATGGAATGTTTTTTTTTCTAAGAGATTGGCTCTTTTTTTTTTTTTTTTTTTTTGTAAACTGAAATTTTAGAAAGTGAGAGCTTTCTGAGTAATATATCAATCACAGAGAGGGATCTGTCTTTTTCTGGCAAGTTGAATAGGCCATGGGAATTTTTTCTACCTTACCTACACTTGCTGTCTTATGAGTTATGAAGTATTATTTTTCCTGAAGCCATCAAGAATGGCAGGGAGGAGGGGAGCTAGTCCATATATTCACTCTTCCTCTGCGCGTCTCTAGGGTTTTCTGTCTCTGCCTCTTTATCCCTGTCTCTGCTTGTTTCTGCTGTTCTTCCTCTTCTCTTGCCTCTTTGGCATGAACCAGCAGTAGCATTTGTTACAGGATTTTCATGAGTACGGTCTTCTGGGCAGTGGTTTGTGACAGGGTGGGGCATCCAGGAGTGGCTGGTGGGGATGATGGAGCAAGAGGCCAGGCAATTGAGGAGGCCAGTGGGAGAGCACTGGGTACACCCAGGTACAGAGGAAAGACGCAGCGTTCAGTGGGGTGGCTGAGGGTGGGGGTGCTGTCAGGAGGTGGAGGAGGTCTGGGCAAGCATGACAGCCTTGGCACGAGGAGCAGTCAGCCTGGCCAGATAGAGCAGGTAGGCAGCCAGCAGGAGCTGGCATGAATGTAGGAGGGCAGCAGGAGGCCGGAGGCTGGGCTCAGCTCTGGCGGCTGAGACCTGAGACTCAGGTGGGATTAAGAGGACCAGGCCGGCATCAGGGGCAAAAGTTAGCAATCCTACCCCAGAGGCGAGGGCACCAGAACTTCAGGCCAGAACCCAGGCAGAGAGTGATGAGAACGACCATAGTAACCCAGTGCTTGCTTGTGGAGGACTGTTGGTGCCAGGTACCCATCCGAACATTTTATTAGACCAAGGCTTTTAATCTGCACAATCTTCTTGATAGAATCCTCATTTTGTAAGTGAGGAAATGGAGGCACAGGAAGGTAGAGTAGCTTGCCGAGTGTTACCCTGCTGGGAAGTGGCACAGCTGGGATATGCAGGCAGTCTGGCTCTAGGGTCCCTGCTCATAACCACCTTGCTTCATGGTATTCCTGTTACATATCACAGGGAGGACCACTCACACGGGGTGCATGGGGCCTTTGGAGCTGGGCAATGTGGGCTGCCCTGATTCCGTACTACTTCCCTTAAAAAATTTAAAAGGCGGATTCTTCCACACTGCCTCCTGTGTATCTTTCATATCTTAACTCGTTAATTTCAAAACTATTATCTCCGTGGTATTCGTGGGGCCTGGAGAGACTCTGGACATGCCTCCCTAGGTGGTAAGGTCTGAGTTCAGCCTCAGAGAACTACAGCAGAGGACTAATAGAAGTGGTATCTATTGTCTGTAGTTTTTTGTTTGTTTGTTTGTTTTGTTTTCATTCCCTTGTCTGCCCTGTTGCTACCACCTATCTGATGGGCTCCAGGGAGGAAACAGGAGTATGATACTCATTCTTGCAGTTGGCCACACAGATTTCTAGAGGCAAATGAGTGGAGTAATATTACTTACAGAAGACGAGAAAATTCATCTAGCACACAGTAGTCACTTAGTAAAATTTAAACAAAAACAGAGAACAAAATAATTCCCAAGACTGAATTGGCAAACAGAGACCTTGGACTTGTGTTCTAGCCCATGGAGACGAGAAGAGAACTAGCCTTGGCTGAGTCCCAACATTATTCCTTTGTCTCTTCTCTGAGCTCTTGCAGTTCTGCTATAGAACACATAACTACACTGGCTTTGAACAGTTAAATTCCCAAGAAATTTAGGTGGAAAATTAGAATCAGAATTGCCTTTTGCTTCTAAATTTGCACCAGTTTGTCTTGATCATGGCTATCTAAGTCTCATAGCTAATCTTCTCACTTTTGGCTTTTCTCTCCTTCTCTCTGTCCAAACAAGTGGAAAACAGAAATACCTATCCTTTGTACTCTACTGTCATTTTCATGGGTTCACTCTATGACAAAGCCCAGCACTGGGTAAGGAAGAGGGACTTAATATCCCTAAGTGTAAAGCCCATGAAAACGAACTGAAAGTAATGTTTCCTTGTGATACAAAACAGAGCTGTCCTAATTTGTTGAGGGCCATGCCATTTCCTCCACTGAATTAAGCTCAGTTGAGGCATTTGTCAAATTGCAAGGATACCTTCCCCATCATGAATCACGTGACATTTATAAACAGAGTCATAGAGACGATGCTTTTTCATAGGGTTTTTTTGAGTTCGAACTGTTGATCATAATGAGAGATAAGGGGAAAAGAGTTGAGTCAGAAGTACATTCAGCAGGGCATCCTCAGAATCAGAGGCAGCCCCCTTGAGGCTATGTAGTTTTGGAGGCTACTCAGTAATGAGAGGTAGGTGGGTTCCTGGGAAGCACCAGCACAAGATAAGCCCCAAGGTTTTCAAACTTGTTCTCACTGTAACTGCAGGTGGGAGAAGTAGGCCAGAAACGGGGTGGTTTCTCTTTCATCTTCTTGACCATCATTCAAATGGAGAACTGTTAAAGTCAAAACCAAGAAGGTACCAGTGTCTTGGTTGCTTTTCACCACCTGCTGCAGTGAAGTGTGAAATTTGGCCCTAGGAACTTGAACCTGCTGGAATCCATAGACCCTTTTACTAAAAGCCAGGGACTGGAGGTGATCTGAAACAGGCCCGGGAAGCTCCCAGGGACCTCTCACTACTTCTCAGCCTGGTCTCAGTTTAGAGAATCTTGGGACAGAGATAGTCAGTTCTAAGATCTTTCTAGAGTTCTGAGCTCACTTTTCTGGAACTCCTTAGAGTTCCTCTGGGGAGGTTCAGAGCTGAGTGTCTCCCTGGGGTTCCTCTGGAACTCTGGGATCAGCCCAAATATTGGGTTGAAACCCTTAGGTGACTCATAGGTGTGGTGCTGATTCTGTGTAGATACAGACCCTAGGGGAAGACTCCCCCACCTGTGATCTGATTTTTAGTTATCAGCTGTGGGTGAACAAAATGACTTCTGATGGGATAATTTGTTTGAATGGAAGGCGTGGGAAAAATAGGAATTTCCCCAACACAGTGACTTATCTCTATTTCACCAAATTCCTCTTGGGAACACGCCTACTGCCCCTCATTTTGAAAACTCTATCAAGGAGGAAGTAGGGGAAGGAACACTCCAGTATAGAACATATGGCTTTGAATAAAACAATTCAACCTTTGTAGGCACTAGAAGGATCAGATAAGGAGACTCCTGTTGTTCTCCCACCTCTTACAGTTTATGATTTGGAGTCCAGCACGTTTCTGACTTCCTGGGAAGCAGGCAGAGCCACGCTGCCCCTGCTTCACATCTATTCTTAGTTAGAGGAGTTGGGTGCAGGAGGAACCACAGCCTGCTATGCGTGATCCAGTGCCTGCCTGCTGACATCCCGTCCTGGTCAGACTCGCTGACTGCATGCATTAGGGTACCGTAAAGTGCGCCCCTTCTCTTTAAAACTTCCTTTAGGCCCTCACACTGGCTATAGGGAGTGCTCCACGGCAGCCATCCACAGAAGAGCTGAGCTATGTACAGTTTTTCCAGTTGGGAACAATTTCTCTCATCTTGATGAATTGTGAAAGTGGGCTGCCTCTGTCTTCTCCCCTTAATTTAGATGTCCATTTAACATAATCAGAGAATACCTATACTTGGAATTGAAGTGGTAAAGTCGGGAAATGATCTAGAGAATTTCAGAGAAAAAAAGACCGTCTTGTCTCAGTTTTCCGTTGATTCTGGTTGAAATACCGTATGGCTGTAGTTAAAGAGTTAATAATTAAAATAAGAGTCTAACACGTGAATTTGAGCACAGCAGCCCTTTGATCCGGTCCTCTTGGTGTATAGGGGAGGGAACCGAGGTTCCACCTGGCCAGGGACTTGCTCCAACATGCATCCTTGTCGACAGGTAGGGCCAGCACTGGGTTTCTCTCTATGGAATCCCGTTGACTGCACTCATCCCCTGCTGCTGTCCTCCCTCCATGGGGGCACAGCCTCAGAGGTGACAATCTGTTCAAACCCTACCATTTTGGGATTCTGAAGGACAGCAGCATCATCTTGCTGTCATTTATATCTGAAAGTGGACTAGGTATTGATGCCACTCCCAAGATGTGCAACTCTGATTGAAAGACATGAACGGGTCAGCACAGACCTGGGAGAACTATGCTCTGCTCAGCTGTTGTAGCCCTTGTGTTGTTTATTATTTTGACTCAGGTTTGTTCCTTTAAGAATTACGCTTTTCAGAGATACTGGCTGGAAGGACAGGCCTCCTTTCCTAGGTCCAGGGCCAGCCAGTTACTCCTGTGCTGAGCTCCCATGAACTGCAGCCAATGCCTTCCAGCTGACAAAGCAGCTTCTCAATGGTAAGTGTTTATGTTGCACTTTAGATTTGCAGAGTTCTTTCCCTAAGTTATTTCTTACCTCATTTTGGCGGGTGAAGATACCAGAGCCCATCGAGGTGGTGACTGACTGGTCCAGAGTCATCTGACCAATTAGTGGCAAAGCTGATACAGGGGACTCAGAGCCTCTGAGTTTCTGGGTCATTACTTACCCAGTCAGTCGTGCAGCTGCTCTAAAATATGTTCTGTGCCCCTCACCAGCTCCTTTGTCCCCCTGACTTTAGCTGGCTTCTTTTAGAGTGGGCCATAAAGCTCTCCTGTGTCAAAGCTGCAGCTTTTTTTTTTATTGGTTGACCAGAAAGTTCTGAGTACCTAGAGAAACTCCATCCCAGGCTGCTGCAATGTGGGACCTGTCCTAGGTCAACTTGAGTTGTGGTGTGGCCACAGCAGGCGGAGGGAGTCTGACGTTTCTATTTAGGTTTTGGGGGAAAGACCAATGCCATTTCAGGATTATTAAAGATTTATGCATGGGAAAGGGATGAAGAATTTACATGAAAACATTGGCTGTTGCTTAAAGTTGATTTAAAAAATTCAACTAAAGGGCATTAAACATTTTGCATCTAAAAGTTGAGAGGTTTTTGGCTTCCTTTTCGAACTTCACCAGTTGGGACACAGAGCTCTTTTCTTGCCAGTGAGGCAGAGACTTCATCGAGAATATTGAAAACTTTTACTATAGAAATTCCCACAAGAAATCTTACCATCTGTTTATTCTAGTCATTTTTTTCTTCACCTTGGGTTTGAAGATTTTTTTTTATGACTCATTGCCCTTTTGACTGAAACGCATCTGTTAAGTACAGATGTTGGATGAGATTAGTATCTGTTTACCTGTCTTTACATGATATTCTCTGAAAATAAAATCTTTCCTTTGCTCCCCTCTCCAATTGTGAATTTAATTAAGAAGATGAGCAGTTGTGTTTGGAGTATTCAATAGTCTGCCTTTCCAAACATTCCACGCAGCCTTTTGGATATTGATAAGTGTTTATTGTAGAACTAACAATACAGGCGAAACAGGAAGCAGCTCTTTGCTGGGTAGGATGCTCCGAGGCGCCCTCCACTCTCCGAGGGAACGCTCTTCAGCTGACTGAAGCAGGGAAGCCGAGCCAATCAGAGGCCGCTTTCCTAGCTCAGTCACCAGTCTGTGGTTGAGGAAGGGTTTTGCTTTTTGTGCTCTGTATTGGGAAGGCAGAGAAAATGCCAGGTCTGGACTGCCTCTGGGGATAACCTTACCCTGTGGGATGTGAATGAATAGCATCTTGCCTGGTAAATCCACAGGAATTGATAAGGCAGGCGCAGTTCTCCCAAACAGGCCTTTTCTCTTTAAGCTCTAGCTGTGGTTTCTGCAGCAATTTTGTTTTTGCCTTGAAAGAGGTGCTCTGGATTATCAGACCTCCATGTATGACAATTTGTACCTGCATGGAATTGAAGACTCGGAGGCTGTAAGTATTTTCATAGATAGCTAATTCCCTCTCCCCTCCTCTTCCTCCTCCCACTATCCCCTTCACCACCACCCCCCCTTCTTATTTCTTAGGCAACGCAGGGAACATGGAGCAGAAAGCTAACATCATTCTGGGGCTTGCTGGCTGCTGTGTAAATGTTCTCTGTGTAGTTTGTAGGTAACTGAAATTATTTATTGTCAAGCAAAAAAGAAATTAGGGTGATGGCAAAGCATCTTAAGAGTGTAGGCTCTTTGAATTTATACATTACCGGGTCCACATTTGATCTCACCAGGGGTAACTGCTCCTTGTAGACTGGTTTAAACTATGCAGAAAGTGCCTATGTTTTCCAATAGCAGGGTTCATAGAAAAGCCTCATTCATTATATAATATACATTGTTCGTTGAGCTAGCATGAATGGAAGTTCCTAAGCTGTAGCTGTATTATTATGTGCTTTCTGGCCAAACAAGCAGTGCAGATCTACTGCTTCTTTGTTAAGGAAATCAGATGCAAGGGTTGTGGCCATACAGCACCCCAGTGCAGAGGCAGTGGGCAGTGTTCCTGTACTCTACCTTGGAAGAGCGAAGTAGACTCACATGTGTTTTGGGTTAGAGAACTGGACTCCTTCTCCCCCCTAGGTCAGGTTCATGCAATCTGTTAAAATCAGGATGAAATAATTTCCTGAAATCCCTAAAATCATACCACAGACTGCCAGCTTTTGAATATAGGGTAAAGCTGATAATTGAGTCCTTCTTTTGACTCTTGCTGGTGGTAGTTCCTATGTTTTTCATCAATACACAGAATCCTCGCGAGGTAGAATGGTTGAGGGTGGTTAATGGGAAGTGCCGTGAGGAGTCTGAATTTTATGGGAGTGCAGTGCCATACATGTTGCTACATTTGAAATAGGAGTGTGTTATATAAGATTCTCTGGCTAAACCACCAAATAAACAGGTTATAACAAAAGGAAAAAAAAAAAAAGCCCTGTGGTGTACGTCAATGCAGACGTATATGTCTAATGATGTGCTATCCATGAAAGATAGGAATCCTCAGTTCTGTTAAGGCATTCCATTTTTCCTTCCTGTCTGTGTGTTTGCTCTAACTCTAACTCTGTTTCTGCAAAGTCTCTCTGCATGTTGCCCAACGTGCTCATAAATGATCAGACTGTCAGTGTATTGCAAGGGACCGTAGTCTAAAACATTGGCGGCTGAAATCAAGAAGGTCCACACTTGCCGGTGGGGTGGGGGATTGGTAAAGGCAATTATAGGAGTTCAGTAAGCCGACTTTCCGGGCTGGGTTCTTCAGAAGGCCTGATCACTTCTTCTACCCTTCTCTGCTCACTCAGTTATGAAACCTGTGATGCCTTGTGAATGATAAGTTTTATTTTCGGCCATTGATGTTAAACTTGAGCAGGCAATGTGTTGCACCGAAGTGGACTGGAGTCATTTTAGAAATGCCTGTAGAAACTGGCTGCTGTGAAGAGTTGGCTAGGAACTAATATATCCAGCTCCTTGTTCTCCAGAACTGTATAAATTTCAGATGCACTGGTTCAGAGGGGGAGCCATTATAAGTATGAAAACATTTTATTTTATTGCTATTTTTTGCCTTTGGGTCCAGTCTCACAGGACAGCTGAGTTTTTCTGTAGGATGGGAAATGAAGAGTGCAGTGACTTGACTCGGTGGCGGTAGTTGATGGCGGGTAGTGCTAGGTACTGCAGTGCTGTACTCCTGGTGACTCAGTGGTGACCAGCAGGCTGAGATCCTCCGGGCTGTGCACATCCGTGGAGGTGAGGAAGGTGGGAAACGTGAGGAGTGGAGATGGGCATCTGGCAAATCCTCAGTTGAGAGTATAGGAGGCTTTCAGTGGGGGCGGGATTGAAACCGTGTCACATAAATCAGAGGGGAAGACAGAGATGTTCGGAGGGGTGAACTGACTCTGAATGCTCATTTGAGTTTATTTGTTTTTATAAGGAAGAATAATGTGATGTGTTACCCAAGATGGTGTGAACAGAGCTTCAAGCCAATGGAGAAGACTAGGCCTAAATAGCTGACCTGGTGAAGTGACACATAAAGCCACACCTGGAGTGCCACCTCCTCAGCAGTCTTTCTCAGTGCCAATGCATTTATGGCTGTAAGTGTGGGGGGTTGTCCAGATGGAAGCAGAGCTCTCGGAACAGGTCTGGTGGATAGGCGTGGAAAGGCTTTTCTCAGATGGCCAGCTGCAGTCCGAGAATATACAGGCACTAAAAGCTGAGTACGGCACTTCGGTTGGGGGTGGGGGTTGGGGAACCATCCGCATATGTCCTGCCACTCTGTGCTGTTGAAAATGTCTTTGTGGGGTGTGTGGGGGTTCACCTGTGATAAGCGATTATTTTCAATGTTTTCACACAGTAAGCTTGTAATAAGATCATCTTGCCTGGGGGCTATTTTATTCCGAATAAGAATAACACATTATTATACACTGTTAGCACCTCACATCCCCACAGTGGGAGAGAGATTTTGGTACTGTGATGCAAGGTCTTTCTTAAGAGTTTGGTCCAAAAGTAGATATTATGCTCCCAGTGCCCTAGATTTTAGTTTGTAACCTCCGTGTTTCACATACTCTCTATATGAAGAGAGAGGAAAAAGAAACATGCCGAAACACACTCGAGTCTGGCATTTTAGATTCTTGAGTCCTGTGGAGCCTTTTTGGGCAAGTCCATTAACTTCTGCTTTGGTGTCCAGGAGGATAGTTAAGAATCTGGATTACAAGGAAGTGCAAAAGATCATTCATTCGGTGCCTCACAGCAGGGCCCTGCTTCCGAATAGGAGATTTCACACAGAGCATCACCTTACTTCTTGTGTTACCTTGACATGGATGATGGAGTGTGTGCTTCCAGGTGAGCCCATACCTAGCCCAGGCTGGTTCCAGTGGGTCGTGCACGTCAACTCTTCCTACACTGGCTGCTATATAAGAGCCGCCTCTTCTACCTTCACTGTCCCCCACCGTGTCTTAATAAAAGTCCTGGCGGCCAAGAGTTTTTTCATGGACTGAGCCCCCCATGTACACTATACTATGTGTCTTCATCTGATTTGCAGTAGATTTCATTAGACCTGCTCTTTAATGTGTACACATATTTCATAAATGGATTCATTGTGTATTTTGATGTTAGTGGAATTATTCTGGGAATAGATTTATTTTTCATTCATCAGGTTTATTACACAAACCGGGGGATGTTCTTATAGGGATCCATGGAAGCAGCAGAGAAAGTTACCAAAAACCTACCATCCAGAAATAGTCACTGTTAATATATTGCTGCACACCCTTTCAGATGATCAATCCACATATATGTAAATAGGTCAGTCTCAACCTGCTACTGTGTGTTGCATCCTATTCTGTTAAATGCTGTTCTCACTTGAGAAAAATGTTGAGCATACTAGGACTAGAACTGGCCTGCACAGGAGACGCTTTGCAAAATTGAAAGCTCCTACATGGACCTTCTGGAATTGTGAGCAGCTTGAAATATAGATTCTTAGGGTATATTGTAAAGTGATGCCGGGGTTAGTTGCACATAGAATTAATAGTTCATTTCGCTGACACAATTGCTTCCATTTCCAAATGCTTAAATTCTAAAGCATTTAGAAGGAGAGACCTGATCTTTTCCTGTGAAAAAGATGATCAGATCATCATTCAGGGCAATTTCCAGAGAGGAAAATGTAGTCTTTAAGTGTTTTCAATAATAGGAATAATAATATATTGATTCATACTGTTAGAAATTTAATGTATGTAAAAGTTACAGCAAAGGTAAATTTTACAAACAATATGTATGTATAACAATATGTGAGTGTATATATAAAAGCACATGTTTAAATTTACATGTACCTACACATTATAAGGATAGCTTTGTGTTAGTTATTTAAACTATTTATTTTCTATAAGCTGTGGAACTATGTATGTTTGTCTCAATGTCTGTGCACCTCTGCATGCATACGTACTGTTCATCCTCGTACCTTCACCTACATTCATATACAGATATGTTCCATGCATCGCTAATTGATGGTTAATGCTAAGTGGGAGATTTCTACTGTGGAGCTTTTGGAGAAGGAAAATTAGCTGCTTTTGATATGAACAAAGATACCCAAGAGAGCTGAAAGACAACGCAGCCACAAGAGAATAAAGGATTGCTCCTTTCAAAGTATAGTAAAGTTATTTTAAATATGAAGATATGTCCTTGTGCTTGCTAGGGAGGTGGATAAACTTCAGACAGAAGGATTTATATGTTTAGGGGCATTCGGAAGACACTTTAGGGATTTAAGGATTAGATTTCTTTTGGAAACAAGAAGGCCAGAGGTCTGTATGGTTTGGTGGATCAGAGCATCCCTTCTGGGTTCAAAAAGTCTTTCTGGTCTATTTATAGAGAATGAGGACTGATTTGTAAGAGAATCCAAGGACTGGATGTTGGCATCTCTGACCAGAGAAGAAAACCAAATGTTGCTCCTGGTTTGTGTAAGGAATTTGACTCAGAAAATCAACTTGTTTTACTCAGCTGAGCTATGTTGGTGTTTGGCTAGGATGTGTTAAGTAAGTGATGAACAGGGCTTTCTCTTCAATCAGCAGTGATGGTTTTCTAAAATACAGATTGAAATTATTTCTAGATATAACTGGCATGGAGCCAAAGAGAGAAATTCCTTGAATCGATCAGATCCCATGAATTTGCTGTTCCAGCTTGTCAATCTTGCTGCTTTCTTGTTAATTTTCTGTTTTTGAGTCACAGAGGCAAGAATTTGGATCAATCCTCGCCAGGTACTTCCGTGTCTCCTTTTCTGCTGCTGTTATTATTATTATTAGATTATGATGAGTCAATCCAGGATTTTAGAATAAGGTCCTGTGACTCCCTTTGTATATACTCAATGAACATTCCATTATTCTGTGGTGCAAGACATTCTGTATGAGGGTCAGCAATAACTGTGAAAAACCATTCTTTTAGGGTGAAGGTGGGGAGGCTTCCCATTGCCTTAACTCTTCTCTTTCTATGGGGTTCAGCTTGGACCTTATTTCTACGTGGACAGTTCTCCCATTCTGGTCACTATCTCCCCTTTACTGTCTCTTACCCAGATGAACAAGGCCACCTAAGGAGGACAAGAGGATATAACTGGACGGGTTATCATGTTTCATTCTCTTCTCTTCCCTCTCCCACTAGTCCTTTAAAATAATCATCAAGCCATGAACTCAGATATCCATGACGTTAAGTTAAAAATTGTACCAAGGAAGCGCTACAGATACAGGCTCTGTGTTCTCATCTACATCGGCTGATTTAGGGGCCTTTCATGTGGTTGCATCAGGCTCTGGTGGCTGTGAAAACAGCAACAGCTGTAACCTGCCACACTAGAAAAAATAAATTCATTGGGTGAATCCCTGAGTTCTCACAGGAGGCTGGGGCACTGCTGTGTAAAGCTAGTGCCCTGTCCTCAGAACAACTTAGTGTGTAAAACCTAAGGGAGCTTACAGTTCCTATAAAATAATGACAACTTTGAGCTTTTTAAGACTTTGAAGGGCGTGAGTGTAAGATAAAACCGTGTGGCTATTTTTACAGTATGTATTGGTATGCCAAAAGAAGGTAGCCCAGATAGCTCACGCGACAATTTTTGAGATCTAAATAGACCAATACTTGCTCTTGCTCTACATTTTATATTTTATAACATAACTGTATAGTTTTAGTTATAAGTATTTTCCTCTCTTTTTAAATGGTGCCACATTGTTAGTACTTCCTGTGTCCTTTGTTTTCTTTTGTGTCTGGCATCAGAAATATTGAAAAATCTTATATTTAAAACAGGATGTTCTGAATTTGCTTTTACCCTTTTCATTCAGAGGAGTTGATCCAAGGGATCCACTCAGACACGGAGACTGGCGACTGTCCATTACTCAGGAGCTTGTCTGTGTAGTTTGTAAAAAAAAACCAGTTCTCTTATTTTGCCTTTCTTATGCCTGTTATTCCTTAATCTCTCTTTTCTTTTTAGCCTGAGCATCATATAGGAAAAAGATTCTGACCTTCAGTGTTATTACTCTATTGGCAGCTTTGTTGAAAAGTTTGGTGAGTGATAAGGTTGTAGTTGAAATTGTTTCTAGATCTTTTTAAATCTCCATAAAACTTAAAAATTTTTGTCTTCTATTGGGCATATCTATCAGCCAGGAAAATTTCAGGTTTACTTTTTGTACTTTGTGTTATGAAAAAATGGTGTAGTATAATAGTGTCATGATAAAAAGTGGAGACAGATCAGGCGCAGTGGCTCACACCTGTAATCTCAGCACTTTAGGAGGCACAGGTGGGCAGGTTGCTTGCGCTCAGGAGTTTGAGACCTGTCTGGGCAACATGGCAAAACCCCATCTTTACAAAAAAATAAAACTAAAAAAATTAGCGGGGCATGGTGGCGTATGCTTGTAGTCCAAGCTACTCAGAAAGCTGATGCGGGAGGATCGCTTGAGCCCAGGAGGTTGAGGCTTCAGTGAGGTGTGATCTTGCCACTGCACTTCAGGCTTGGTGACAGAATGAGACCCTGTCTCAAAAAAAAAAAAAAAAAAAAAAAAGGTGGAGACAGTGCCGTATTGCCAGGGATTGAATCCTGACTTTCCCTTTCCTACTTTGTGGCCGTGGGTATATTTCTTCAACTTTTTGTGCCGTTGTTTCCTCCTCATGCCTGTCAATAATAATTGAACTTACTTTTTGGGTGGTTTTGAAGATTAAGTTAGTTAATGTGTATAAAGCCCTTAAAATCAGATAAATATTATCTGCCATTATTGTTATACATATAATGAAAATACTTACAGTTTCGGTAACTAAATATGCTCCTTCCTCTATAGGTTCTGTTAGTTCAACCAAATTTTTTGGTTTATTTTCAGAGCCCTTGCATGGTTTTTGACAGTGATTTCCAAAAATCTTATAGTGGTTGACAGGTAAAAGAATTCAGTAATCCCCGAAGACCTTATGATTAGTTCGTTGTATTTTGTTTTAGAAAAGCAGGTGGTAAAGTGTAATTGAAGAACACTGCGAGGCCAGGCACAATGACTCAGGCCTGTAATCCCAGCACTTTGGGAGGCCGAAGTGGGTGGATCATGATATCAGGAGTTCGAGACTAGTCTGGCCAAGATGGTGAAACTCCGTCTCTACTAAAAATATAAAAATTAGCTGGGCATGGTGGTGTGCGTCTGTAATCCCAGGTACCCGGGAGGCTGAGGCAGGAGAATCGCTTGAACCCCGGGAGGCGGAGGTTG